TGACAGTGACGGCTACGGTGGTGGTAGGGGAAGTGTGAGGGGCAGAGGATGAACCAAAACCACAGATAGAACAGGCTCCGGATCCCTGGGGATTGTTGAGCGTACAGTGTGGACAGGTCCAGCGACGTTCCTCTGTGCTGCTCAGCCGCAGGATCTGGTTGAGATCAGGTTTCTGGCGCGGTGCCTCACAGATGGAGCAGCGAGGTGCCGAACCCGTGTTTAGGAAGGTGCAGCGTCCACATGACCACTCGCTGCCTTGCACTGCTGCTGCCATGGAGCCAGGAGAGTGAGAGTGGCTGGAAAACAAAAAACACTGAGTCAGGACAATTTCAATTAATAAATCCATCAGTAAAAACTTTTGTTATTGCTGTATAGCTGGAAGCATTCAAATTACATTTTTTGTTTGGCCAAAATAAAAACATTTTAAGTGCCCAACTGTAGTCTTTAAAGGGTGGAAAAATGTCTCTAAAATTGCAAAATAAGAAGAGAGAATTAGAAAAGCAAAACAGAGTGCGAGATTAGCCAGTTTAGGGGAAAAAAAATCCCTTCTTGGGGTACTGAGGGCAGTAAATCCATACACAATGATCACCTGAATAAAATGGTAGCACACAGAGGAGGAGCCAGAGGGGTGGAAAGGAGAGAAGGCCGCTTGCCTCAGAATATTAGGCCAGAAATACCGGAGTCACCCTGACTGACACTTATTAGAATGGGAGAAACACACAAGATCTCCTCCACTTAATATTAGCACCTCTCTTCCTGCTCGGTGAATGTTAATGCAGTGTAGATGGGATCAACTTAAGGCCATGTCAATCCAGTGCTCAAATGGATTCCAAATGGATGAGTGTATTAAAGCTGGCAGCACTTATGGCTGGTACACTTTTGAGAGAAATCATTGATGCAACCGGAAGAAAAGTTATTAAAAACCAGCTATCGCAAATACATTCAACAATACTCAAATGCTGTAAACAGAGAAAAACACATTATCCTAGTCAAGCTGTTCTGTTGATTTCTACTTCCTGTAAGTTTAAACATAAAGTCGACTCATTGTGGAGACTTGTTTGTGCAATTCTTTCTGTATGCCTGCAGTTCAGTCAATCTGACTTTATCGACAGTGGTTATATTAGGGCCTCTAGAGGGAGCAGCACAGCTGGACACTTCCAGCTCTGCAGGAGGGGACTTAAAAAAAGCACAGCCCCAAAGGGACAGACAGGGTTACCATCTGAAAAAGTCCATAAATGTCACTGTCACTCAAGCTGTTCATGTGTGAATAACAACACAAAGGGTAATGTGGGAATTTAGTAAAAGTGGAAGGTACGGTGCTAAGAGCTGGGATACTGCAGTGCTTCTCACATCAATTCCAGATGGAAAGATTCATCCCATAAACAAACAGAAACTTGGGATGCTCAAGTTTATTTATATTTTGTTAGATCTTGGTCAGAAAACTACAAGAGCTAAGGCTGCTTGGGGAAACACCTTCATGAGGAAGCACTGGCTTTCTGGCTGTGTGTAAAAAGTATGCTCCAAGAACAATAAAATAAGTTAGAAGGTTGTTTAAAATGTAAATAAAAACAAAATGCAGAGATTTTCAAATCTCATAAACTCGAGTTTTATTCACATTGGAATCGCAAACATGAAATACTTATGAACAGGTCAGTAAAACCACTGTGTAAAAACAATAGGATTTGTAGAGAAGATGAATGTCTCATATGTAAAGGTGCACAGATGTTTGTCAATTTAAAAAACAAACAAACAAACAAACAAAAAAAATGCATCTACAAATTGTGGAGCAATTTCAGAAGATTCTTCCTCAGCAGAAAATTGAGACAACTCAAAGTATCACATCATGTACAGTTCATAATATCAAAGGTTTTTAAGAATTTGGAGAAATCTCTGTGTGCAAAGGACAAGGCTGAAAGTCAATATTGAATCATGGGATCTTTGGGCCCTCAAGCAGTACCGCATTAAAATGGTCTGAATCTGTTATGGACATCCCTGTATACTTTCACAAATCATTGGTTTTATTTACATTCTATACTAAGTCAACTTTTTCAAAATTGGGGTTATAGAAACAGCATTGCTTTATGTGAAATATATTGAGAAAACCTTCTATTTTTTTAGGCCAACATGGTGTCCTAGAACTGTCATCTCACAGCAGGGAGGTCTTCGGTTCAAATCTCTGTGCAGACTGTGTGCAGTTTGAATGTTCTTCCTGTGCCTTCATATTATTTTAGGAGGTACTCCAAGTTTCCTTTCACAACGATGACAACAAAACAAAAATGGTGACTTAGATATTCTGAATTGAGTGAAACACATATTAGCTTTTAAGATTTGTGTTTGCTGTAGGCAGGGAAACTGGACGACAGTTAGGTGTACCCATAGAGTTAAATAAGACAACTTGAAGGCGCATTGGTCACTCGAAGTTTTGATTCAAGGGAGGCATGTGAGCCGTAACTAGAGAGGATAAGCGTATGGACTTAGCACTGTTGTAGAAAGTGCCAAAATAGCCAACAATAAGAGATGATTATGTTAAAAAAATAATTTTAATGTTAAGATATTAGAATGTATTTAGGCGTATGTAAAAATACCACAAAGTGTGCTGTGTGCTACGGGTGTACCAACTGAAGAGAAAAGGGAAAAGATTTCTCATCTAACAAGTAAGCCGATTTGATCTTATTTATCTCAATGTGAATGTGACTGGACCATAACTAAAGCTAATAATGCAATAGTTTCAAATTAAAATTAGCCTATAAAGCTGTTGTAATCACTGTTAATTACTTAATTGACTAGTAGATATTAGCTTCTGTGGCATACATTGTAGCAATATGTGGAATCATGCTACAATTTAGCACAAATTATTAAACTGTTCAATCTGGTATTGCCATCGATTCACACAATATTTACACAGTGTAAAATAATATTATATATTTGACTATTTTAAGATTTCTGTTACGCAAACATGACCTATTGAGAAGACAGTTAGTCAATAACACTTCAGCGCCAGCACAACGTGATGATGTCACGCGCGCCTACCTGATCTGATCATGGCAGAATGGAAGAAGTCAAAATGTCAAAATGTCGGCGGTGTGGAAGTTTTTTTTTGTGTGGAGGATCTTGGATTCCAAAGATTTTTGGACTACGCTGAGACTCGCTACATCGTCCCCAGTCAGATATTTTTCCGACATAGCCTTATCCGAGATACAAGCCGTCATTTCCGACGTCATTGAGAAGCTAACAGCCGATAGCACTTGGGTGAGTTTTACCACAGACATTTGAATGTCAAGTGTTAGCCCTGTTAGCATGATTAGTCTAGTCTTACGGCACAATGAACAGACAAAAACTTTGAACTTAAAAAGGCTGTCCGTGATGCACAAGAGTGAAGAGGATCCCACACTGCAGCTAGGAACCTGGAACAAGCCTCCACAAGTGAGACAGCATCGCAGGTGACTAATGCTAAATAACATTTAACACTTTTCATTTAATACAAATTAAAGTGCTATGCATATCATATGGCTGTTACTGAATATATTTCACCAGCTCTTACAGCTGTTACACAATTTTTGTAGCAAATAAGCCTAAATAAGAGGGCTACGTCCTGACAAAGGAAAGTATATATAAAAATATTAGCATTGGTTATCGGCCAAATAAGTTTTAACATATCGGCCAAAAATCCAATATCGTGCATCCCTAATCACCAGGTATGTAGTGAACATTTTCAAAGTGTCGACTACATAACAGGTAAATAATAATAAACGTTATTCAATACTGTTATGCAATACTCTTTATGTGTAATTTCTGAGTTATTAAGAATCTGGAGAAATCTGTGTGCAAAGGACAAGGCTGAAAGTCATATAAAACAGCTAGGTGATATCTATCTATATATCCATCCATCCATCCATTTTCTTTACCCGCTTATTCCATTTTTGGGTCACGGGGGTCGCTGGTGCCCATGTCCAGCAATCACTGTGCGAGGGGCGGGGTACACCCTGGACGGGTCGCAAGTCACAGGGCCACATAGAGACAAACGAGACAAACAACCATTCACTCTCTCACTCACACCTAGGGACAATTTAGAGTTACCAATCAGTCTAACATGCATGTTTTTGGTCTGTGGGAGGAAACCGGAGCAACCGGAGAAAACCCACGCATGCACGGAGAGAACATGCAAACTCCACCCAGAAAGGCCCCTGGACCGGGGTTTGAACCAGGGACCTGCTCGCTGAGAGGCAGCAGCTCTACCAGTTGCGCCACCGTGCTGCCTATCTATATATATATATATATATATATATATATATATATATATACACGTACAATATGATTGTTGAATGAAATTACTATTAGTATAAATTATTTTAAGTTATTGTAAAAAGATTACAAATGATTTGTGACACAGATCCAGTTAGACTTGCTGTTAATCAAATTGTTGCTGTGTCGGGTGAGCTAATGAGCCTCTTTGGACGCCATCTTTGCTTCTCCCTGATGTCACAGATGCAAGAAGTGGACGAGATAGGGAATGCACTCTTTATTCGTCCTATTTAACTCTATGGGTGTACCTCACCTGGCACCCCTTTAACCCTGAACTGTTTTCTTATTAGTAGAGGGAAAAAAATTGCATTCTCACCATTCAAACAACTTAATTACTGTGACAATAAAGAAATGTTTTTTGTATAAATGGAACAACAAATGGCCTTCGCATCAATGTGAATAGGGCAAGGGAGATTGCCGCGGACTTCGGAGGGAATAAGCACACCTACCCCCCCTGAACATAGGGGGATCTGTGGTGGAGGTGGTCTCCAGCTGCAGATACTTGGGTGTGCACCTGGGTGACGGCCTCGGCGACGGCCTCGGCTGGGGCGGCGGCACTGCCAGCCTGCTCAAGAAAGCTCATCAAAGACTCTACTTCCTCAGGCGGCTGAGGCGAGCTGGTCTAGGAGGCTCAGCCCTCGCCTCCTTCTGCGGGTGTGCAGTGCAGAGCATCCTGTGCACCGGCCTATGGTATGGAGGCTGCACAGCTGCAGGGGGAGGGGCTTTGCTGAGAGTGGTGGGGGCTGCACAGAGGTCTGTTGGTGTCGGCCTCCCCACCGTTGCGGACGTCTGTGCCTCCGGGTGCGGGAGGAGAGCCAGCTGCATCGTGGGGGACACCGCACACCTAGCCCACACACTTTTTTTGCCCCGCTCCCCTCGGGCAGAGGGTTGAGGAGCATCGGGTGCAGGACCGCCGGGCTGAGGGGCAGCTTCTGCCCTGGGGCTGTTGGACTCATGAATCTCTAAAATGGAAAAAAAAAAATCAATGTGAAAA